TATTGATCTTCCAAAATGAAGGTTTTGAGGTATTTCTTCTTTAAAATAACATTTTGTTTTACCTTTTAATTGAATAATTTGATATCCAATTTCTTCTATTGTTAATACTAATTGAGGTGGTGTATTTTTAATTTTCATTTTCATATCTTCAAGAAAGTTATAATTTAATGAAATATTTTCATTTTCTATTCCAAAAGGAATACGACGTTCAATATATCCTGATCCTTTTAATATATCAATAGTTAATAAATGTGGTGTTATTCTATTTTCATTAAAAAGATTTTCAAGAGCACTAAGAGTAGGAAAAGAATTAGTATTAATAAGTTGTTGATAAATATTATCTAAATGTTTTATTTCTTCACTAGATAATTCTGTAACAGATTTCCTTAAATTGGTGTGTTTTTCTTTTTTATTTTCATCTTCAGTAAAAAGAGGTTTAATATGAGAATCATCATAAGTTCCAAACATAAAATAATTATTTGAATTAATAGATTCTAATTTTATAAATATTACATTACCTCATTTAATGAAAAATAAAAATTTTATTTCAAATTTATTGTATTACTAATAACATAAACCAATTTTATAAATAACAAAAATAATTGTTTTATGGATGTGACAGACGTTCAAACAACCAATTATTCCAATTTTTTAGTAAAACACTTTTTTCTTTTATTTCATCATACAATTCAGTAATACTTAAATCATTACTAACTTTAGTATTAAGAGCAAGTTTAATGGCTAATGCGATACTTATAAATAAAGATTTACGATCATCTTCATCAAGAACACCAAATAACTCGACATTTTTTTTAAATTCAGCAATAGTCTTTTGACTTTCTTCTTCCACTTTAATTCTATTTTGTTTTTCTACTTCTAAATTACGTAAAAGGTCTTCTTTTTCATTTTGAAGATTAGGTATTTGTTTTTCTAATTCTTTTATATATTCTTCAGCCTTTTGTTGTTTTAATATAAATGATTGAATTTCATCTTTTAATTGAGTTACTTCAGTTTGTAAATCAACTAATTGATGTTCTCTATCATTATCATCACTTTTATAATGTTCTAATTCATATTTCATATTTTCAACTTCTTTTTTACTGTTTTCAATTTCTTGTTGTAAAGTTACAATTAATTTTTCTAATCCTTCATTTTTATCATTAAGAGATTGAATTTTTTTATTAAATATATTAATTTGTTCATTTAATTTATTATTTATTTCTTTTTCTTGATTTAAATTAATTTGTATTTCTTCTAATTCTTTTTGAGACTCTTTTAATTTTTCTTTTAACTCTGCAATTTTAATACCATTTTCTGTTTGAGTTTTATTAAGAGTTGATTGTAGTTCTTGGATATTTAATGTTAATTCTTTAATTTCATTTTTATTATTTTCTTTTTCTTTAAGTAACTCTTCTTTTTCTGTTTTTAATTTTTCATTTTCATTTTTTAGTTGTTTAATTATTTCTTCTAATTCGTTCTTTTCTTTTCTTATTATATTAATTTCATCTTTTTCTCCTATTGTTGATGACTTAATTTGACTAAGCTCTTCATTAATTTTATTATTTTCATTTTTCAGCTCTTCATTTTCCTTTTTAAGAAGTTCATTTCTTGACGTTAATTCTGCATTATGCGTGATAAAAGCATTATTAGATTTTTTTAATGTTTCATTAATAATACGCTCATCATTAACTTGTGTTTCACATCTATTTTGAATTGTATTAATTCTTCCTTCCATAAAATTAATTTGTTCATCAAAAGATTTTTTGGTTTGTTTTTTCTCTTGTTGAAGGTTATCTATTTTTTTATTTAATTCATTGATTTCATTTCCCTTCTCTGTATTTTCATTTATTAATTTTTCTCGTTCTTCTTTTATACCTTTAAGTTCAATAAACATATTATGAAGTTTTTTATTTAAACCTTCTTCTATTTTTTCTCTTTCATCTCTCATTTGTATATAATTCTTTTCTTTTTGAGTAATAGAATCATTTAGTTCTCCAACTTTTTTTGTCATTTCAACACATTCATTTTGTTTACTTTTAAGTGCCTTTTTTATTCTTTCATTTTCTTCTTTAAATCTTCTTAGTTCTAATTCTGTTTCCCCCATTTTGTTAAAGGCATCTCTTCTATTAGAAAATTCTTCAACTAACCCCTTCTCTCCATCACTTCTTGCATTAGTTTCATCTCCTTTTATATCTTCTAAACTTAATTCCTCATAATCTTCTAAATCAAGTTTCTCAGAAAGACGTGAACCTGCCATGGTTAAATTCATTGTTTTTGGTCGTGCTCTTGTTGATCTACTTAATTGACTTGGTGATGAAACAGAAATAACATCAATTTGAAGAAATTTAATTTCTTCATCATCACGAATATTCTTATCCTTAAGTACATAATATACTAGATACATTGTTAACACTTCATCATCTAAAAATCCACTAGCAACTAATGAAGGTTCCATAATGATTGGGATTCCAAGAAAATCTCTAGCA